TCCTCCAAAACCAAAACCAATAATAAATTGGTCATTTTCAATCCACGACTGTTTGTGGGACATTGCTGTGCGCAATTGGCTGCCGCGTTCGCCCACAAATATACAGTCACTTCACTTTACAGTGTGTTCTGTGAAGCGCTTTGGGACGTCCTCCCGACGTGAAAAGTGCTATATCAAATGCGAAGGATTATTATTATTATTATTGTTAACCGATCGGTAGATGGCTTTCCGGGGGGGGTGGGGGGGAATAACCCCTCCAAAGAAAAATACCCAGTTACCCAATCCCCGCCGGTTTGTGGGGACATCACTGGGCGCCACCGGCTGCCGCGTTTCGCCCGCCACACAGACAGTCACGGCGGTTCACCGCGGAGTTCGCGAAGCCCCTCGGAGACGGGACAAGGCGCCGCGTCACACACAAGGCGCATCGTTGCGTTATTATTCTTACGATGCTATGATTCTTATTAGAAGATTTACAGGTTTAGGAAACCCAGATTGTAGCGTTCAAGAAACCCAGAAGAGCTCTCCCGCAGGTGCTCTAAAATTGGCTCCCGTTCGCTCCGCAAATCAAACGGCTCTCATTATATTTGTTCCAGGCTTTCCCTGTTTATGCGCACATTCCTCTCTCGTGTTAAATCACAGTCAGCAGCTCCATAAAAGATCTCCCACCGGCCTTTTACATCGTTTCCTGCTCCTTAGTGCTACCCACAGTGGTTCCACCCGCTGATCGCAACCGTTAGAGTCCCCCCTCCCTTTCGCCGCCCACAACCACCACCTTTTATTAATCCTCCCACACTTCCTCCTCCTCTGTTCGCCCCTTCCCCCCCCCTCCCCCCCCCCCAACCACCACCACCGCCGCCGCCGCCGCCAACCCCTGTCCCTTCCCCAAACTCTCTGATATAGAAGCGTAGGATCGTACAGCGCAGGAGGAGGCCATTCGGCCCGTCGCGTCCACATCAGCCCCGCTCTCGCCCCGTAGCCCTGATCAACCCCACCCCCCCCCCCCGCTCTCTCCCCATAGCCCTGATCAACCCCACTAACCCCCTCTCCCGCCATAGCCCTGATCAACCCCCCCCCGCGCTCTCCCATAGCCCTGATCAACCCCACTCCCCCCTCTCTCCCATAGCCCTGATCAACCCCACTCCCCCCGCGCTCTCCCATAGCCCCATCAACCCCACTCCCCACTCTCTCCCATAGCCCTGATCAACCCCACTCCCCCCCTCTCTCCCGCCATAGCCCTGATCAACCCCACTCCCCCCGCGCTCTCCCCATAGCCCCAATCAACCCCACTCCCCCACTCTCTCCCCATAGCCCTGATCAACCCCACTCCCCCCCACCGCGCTCTCCCCATAGCCCCAATCAACCCCACTCCCCCCCTCTCTCCCGCCATAGCCCTGATCAACCCCACCCCCCCGCTCTCCCCATAGCCCTGATCAACCCCCCCCCCGCGCTCTCCCCATAGCCCTGATCAACCCCACTCCCCCCCTCTCTCCCGCCATAGCCCTGATCAACCCCACTCCCCCCGCTCTCCCCATAGCCCCAATCAACCCCACTCCCCCACTCTCTCCCCATAGCCTGATCAACCCACTCCCCCCCACCGCACTCTCCCATAGCCCTGATCAACCCCACTCCCCCCTCTCTCCCCCATAGCCCTGATCAACCCCACTCCCCCCTCTCTCCCCATAGCCCTGATCAACCCCACTCCCCCACGCGCTCTCCCCATAGCCCTGATCAACCCCACTCCCCCGCTCTCCCCATAGCCCTGATCAACCCCACTCCCCCCTCTCTCCCCCCATAGCCCCGATCAACCCCACTCCCCCGGCAGCCAATTGCACCCAGTGACGTCCCCACAAACAGTCGTGGATTGAGTAACCAAATTATTATGGTTTTGAAGGGATTATGACCCCTGGAAAGCGATCCGTCAATCGACTGACAAGCGGGTTCCTACTGACTGCCGGGGAACACCGGCGCGTGTGTGTGTGTGTGAGTGTGTGGAGTAAAACCCAGGTCCTCTCGCTTGGTGGTTCTCCAAGGCTCCACACCAGGCGTACTCACTCCAGCTGTTCAATCCAGGTCCTCGTCGTGGGAGACTTTGGCAAATAAGATGCGTCTGTCGCGATACTGACTCCATCTCCCGGCTCAGCACCAGATCAGGGTAAAATAGTGAGCCCGTTAGGGGTTAGAGCCCTCGCCTCACAAGCGAGAGGACCCGGGTTCGATTCCCAGGCGGGTCAGGGTCGAACGTTAGGTAAGTTTCCTTACTCCACACACACAGACACGCACACACACGCATGCACACACGCCTCTGTTCAGCGGTAAATAGGAACCTGCTCGACTGGCGGGTGGCACGCCGGGGGTAATAATTCCTCGGCACCAAAAGTAAATTAAAAAAAATGGTACTAACGATTGGGTCGCTCAAATTTTTTTGTTTGGACGCAGCTGCGCTCAATCGGCTGCCGCGTTTCACCTACAAAATACAGTCACTATGCTTTGCGGTAAGTGTTGTGAGGCGCTTTGAGACGCCTCGAAGCGGTGATCAGGTTTAAGTGCGAGGGTCGCTGCTGTTATTACTCTCCAGAGTTGGCCGAGACCGGCCAAGAGATGGATTTCTGCTGCCATCTGCTGCCCAGAGGGGTAGATGTGGTGAATTCAGAGGCACCGCAGAGAGAGAGAGAGAGAGAGGGAGGGGGGGGGAGAGAAGCCATAGCCCACGGAATCGGCCCAGACTCTCTGCCACTGAGTCAGCTGAAAATATCACTTACGCTTCAGAAAAGAACAGCGGAACAGCAGAAACAGAGCGAGCGAGACTCCTTGAAACAATAACATGCGTTACTGCGGTCCATTCACACGGCAGCGTAGTCCGTGAAGCGCTTCCAGACGTCTAAACGACCGCGATAAGGCTCTGTATCAAACACAAGGATTATTATTATTATTATTATTATTGTTGTAGGAGCTGAGTCCTTTGCTGTTCTGCACTCAGGAAATCTCCCGCAAGGAGATTGGAGTCTCGCCCCAAAATATTTATGTGACAATCCTCGCACACGACCCAGCGCCTGATCGTGCCTTCGGGGTGCACGGTGAAGTGTAGTGACTGCGTATTTTGCAGGCGAAACTCAGCAGCCAATTGCGCCCAGCGAGGTCCCCACAAACCGTCGTGGACCGAGTGACCAAATGAGTGCTGTTATTTTTAAAAAGAAAAGTCGGGAGGAATTGTTACTCCCGGAAAAGCGATCCGCCGATCGACTGCTTATGGCGAGGTAACCAGAAGCGTGTGCGTGCGTGTGCGTGCGCGTGTGCGTGGAGTAAGGAAACTGACCCAATTTACAATCCTTGCCGGCGCGATAATAAATTCAGAAAAAAAACTGCGGAAACAATGCATCAATGAGCGTGTCATAAACAAGTGGAACAGAAAAGGAAGCAGAAAATGTTTGTTTCAAGAACAAATGAGATAGGTTTCTGATAGGAAATACTATCTGGGTTGGGGGGGGGGTGGAGGGGGAGACAGGGTATAGTTTGGGACACAACGTGTAAAGTGACTGCCGCAATGGTGTCAGCTGCATGGACCTCGGTCCTGGCGAATTCTTACATTATCTTCTGCGATCAATGACTCACATCAAAACATCTCCAAACTCGCTCAGCCCTCATGAATGACTTTGATGTGGGACAAGTGTTAATACAGGCAAACGTGGCAGTTGATTTGCATCAGCAAAACATCCCACACACAGCAGATGACGCCAGTATTTAATTGAGGGTGAAATATACAGTAGCAAATAGCACAGCGGGGAAGAGATTAATAGATTTCAGCAGAAATGAGAGATTAATAATAATCCTCACATTTGACACTGCGCTTTATCACGACTTCGCGACGTCTCAAAGTGCTTCACAGAATAGACGGTAAAGTGTCCTGACCGTGTGTTTTGTGGGCGAAATAATCGCCCTTCGATAAATTTAATTATCCTTGCGTCTGATCTAGCACCTTTACACGCCGTCAAGATGTCTCAGTGATTCACTGTGAAGTGTGGTGACTGTATTTTGTGTTGAACCCAGGAGCCAGTTTTTTGGCCTTACAGCGAACAACCGATTTTGTTTGGGGGATTGTCGGCCAGGACACCAGGGGAGGGGGAGAGAGAGAGAGAGAGAGAGAAACTCCCGTCTCTGTTCGAACAGCGCTGAGGGACATCTTTGACGTCCACCTGAACAGCAGACGGGGAGTGAGTGAGGTTTAACGTCTCACCCGGAGGACGGCGTCTCTGACACTGTGACACCCTCCCCAGAGCTGCACTGGAGCATCGGCTTAGACTGTGTGATGCCAAGTCCTGACCCGAGGGCTTGAACCCACAACCTTCTGACTCAGAGGCGAGAGAGAGAGAGAGAGAGAGAGAGATACCACTGAGACGGCTTATCTTTATATTTAGATAGCTTTGATGAGTGAGAGAAAGAAGAAAAGTGCTGCTGGAGACGAGAAGGTTGAGGGGGGATATGGTTACGGTCTTTAAGATTCTGAAGGGAATAGATAATGTAGACTGTGATGAGAAGTTTTATCTTGTGCTGAACAGTAGAACCAGAGGACACGGCCTGCGATTGAAGGGGTAAATCCACAACAAATCTGCGGAAATACTACTTCAGTGAACGGGTAGTAAACTGATGGAACAGGCTCCCCAGCGAGAGAGAGAGAGACACACACACACAGACAGATAGAGAGCGGAAGCAGAAACTGTTGTTTCTTTCAAGAACAAATCAGGTCGGTTTCTGTTTCTGTTAGGAAATAATATCTGGGACACGACATGTCAAGCGATTGGCAGGACGGTGGTCGGTGAACTGGATGGACCTCGGGTCTTCTTGCGTCCCAGCAAATTGTTGTGTTCAAACCCTTTTCTGTCCTCGTAAAAGTTGTGCCGCGCTGTTTAAAGAGAGATCTCCGCTCCAATCCTTGATGCCAGGACTCGGGGCACAGAAGGCGACAATGGTCAGGCCAGGAAACACATACAAATACAGGACTTTAGTGGTTTAAAGCGTCAGGCAGTTTAATGCAAATATAGGTCTAATATCAAACAGGTTTACACAAGCAAACCCCTCTGCTCGCTCCCCAAAACAGGACTTAAAAAGTACTAACCCCGGGCACTACACATGAGGAGAAAGGGGTTAAGGCCAACTCCCACAAGTACATGGTCTGGGACACGATAGGTTAAGTGACTGCCGGGAAGGCGAACCAGACTGACCTCGGACTTTTTTTTCTCACCAGCAAATTCCTACGTTTTTACAAGTACCACCAAACGGAAAGAAAATCCGACTTAAAAAAAAAAACACGAGTTATGAACGGGAATCGACACATACCCCCACCCCCACCCCATCCACCCCCCCCCCACCCCCACACACACACAACCCCGAATAGAGCTCACTAGACGGTCACACGAAGGTGATCTTACTCCTGGCCTGATTGACTTGCCATACATTCAATTCTTCGTATTCCTCCAAAGCCTCTTCGAACTGTGCCGGGGTGAAGCCCTTGGTGACGCAGCGCTGCTCAGCCTCCGAGTACTTCACGCTGCGGCCAGTCCTGTCAGACATCATCTCACGGACGGTAACGAAGATTATGTCGGCCGGTCGCTGGGCTCTGAAAAAAGAAAAGGGGGGAGATGGCGTTGACTCCCGATACCGCACCGTGCCACCCCCTTCACCTGCTGGCGAGCGCACTCGCCTCACAAGCCACCGAGAGGCGTGGAGTAAGTAATCCTTGCATTTGGCATAACAACCCTCGCATTCGACACAACGCCTCATCGTGTCTTCGAGACGTCTCAAAGCGCTTCACGTAATAAACTGTGACTGTGTATTTTGTGGCCGAACGTGACAGCCAGTCACACACAACAATGTCCAACAAACAGTCGTGGACTTGAGTGACCAAGTCATTATTATTCTATATTATTTTTTGAAGGGATTATTACCCCCGGAAAGTGATCCGCCAACCGACTAACAAGCGGGTTCCTACTGACTGCTGGTAAACAGAGGTGCGTGTGTCTGGGGTAAGGAAACGTGCGTAAGGTTTCGCCCAAACCTGACGTGCCCGGGAACCGAACCCGGGTCCTCTCGCTTGGGAGGTGAGTGCTCTAACCACTGAGCCACAGAACTCCATGATAATTTTATCCCAAACGGTTTACAAAGCCCCTCCCCTTCCCGGGTGGGCGGTACGTACCTGGTGCCCTGCCCACGATCTCCCACCAGTGAGTCCTTAGACATCTCCATCAGCCTCATCGCTTCATTCACATCTTCCTTCTCCACCGTGTCAACCAGGCGCAGGCGAGCCTGAGGATACAGCAAATACTGTCACAGCTTCATAGAATCTTACAGCACACAAGCTCTTTGGAAGAGCTTCCAACTTGCCCCACTCTTACCCCAACTAGTCCCAATCCCCCCACTCTTACCCCAACTAGTCCCAATCCCCCCACTCTTACCCCAACTCGTCCCAACCCCCCCACTCTTACCCCAACTAGTCCCAATCCCCCCACTCTTACCCCAACTAGTCCCAATCCCCCCACTCTTACCCCAACTAGTCCCAATCCCCCACTCTTACCCCAACTCGTCCCAATCCCCCATTCTTACCCCAACTAGTCCAAATCCCCCACTCTTACCCCAACTAGTCCCAATCCCCCCACTCTTACCCCAACTCGTCCCAATCCCCCACTCTTACCCCAACTAGTCCCAATCCCCCACTCTTACCCCAACTAGTCCCAATCCCCCACTCTTACCCCAACTAGTCCCAATCCCCCCACTTTTACCACAACTAGCCCCACTCTTACCCCAAGTAGCCCCCCACCCCCCGTTCCTACCCCAATTAGTCCCCACTCCCCCGCTCTTACCCCACGGACCTACATTTTTTTTAAAAGTCCCTATCTAACTGCTTTTTGGGAGCTACAAATCTGTCCCCACCGTGTCAGTTAGTGGATTCCAGATCGAAACAACTCTCTGTGTAAAAAAAATGTCTCCTCGTCTCCCCTCTATTTTTTTGCCAATGATCTTAAGTCTGTGTCCTCTGGTCACTGAACTCCTCACCAGAGGAAAAGTGTCTCCCTGTCTCCTCGATCAAAACCCACCAGAATTGCGAACACCTCTATTAAGTCTCCCCTCAACCTTCTCTGCTCTAAGGAGAATAATCTCAGGATAAGCATTTGATAAGCATAATAATAAGCGTTGCATTTAAAACCTCCTCCAATTGACGACTTAGTGGTTCCTACTTACTTCTGGTAAACAGAGGTGTGTGTGTGTGTGGAGTAAGGAAACTTGCCTAAGGTTTCGCCCCGACCTGACCCGCCCGGGAATCGTACCCGGGTCCTGCGAGGTGAGGGCTCTGACCCCGGAGCTACAGGACTCCACAGTAGACATTAGGGCACAGTCGGGGAGTGGTTTAGGCCGTGTAGGGAAGTGTGGGATTAGATTCCAGGAAGCGTCACACCAGTAATGTCAGACAGAGACAAGTGCAATGCCCTCCTGGAAGCCCAGCAATTGCCCAAGTCTCCACCTCTCAACACTGGCGTTTGGTACCGTAATACAACCAACAAACCGGGCCCTAACACAGGCAGACCAGCCCCCCAACAACACCCCCTACCACAGGCAGACCAGCCCCCCAACAACACCCCCTACACAGGCAGACCAGCCCCCCAACAACACCCCCTACCACAGGCAGACCAGCCCCCAACAACACCCCCTACCACAGGCAGACCAGCCCCCCAACAACAGCCCCTAACACAGGCAGACCAGCCCCCAACAACAGCCCCTACACAGGCAGACCAGCCCCCCAACAACACCCCCTACCACAGGCAGACCAGCCCCCCAACAACACCCCTACCACAGGCAGACCAGCCCCCCAACAACACCCCTAACACAGGCAGACCAGCCCCCCAACAACAGCCCCTACCACAGGCAGACCAGCCCCCCAACAACACCCCTACCACAGGCAGACCAGCCCCCCAACAACAGCCCCTACCACAGGCAGACCAGCCCCCAACAACAGCCCCTACCACAGGCAGACCAGCCCCCAACAACACCCCCTACCACAGGCAGACCAGCCCCCCAACAACAGCCCCTAATACAGCAAGACCAGCGCCCTAGCAACAGCCCCTAATACAGGCAGACCAGCGCCCTAGCAACAGCCCCTAATACAGGCAGACCAGCCCCCTAGCAACAGCCCCTAATACAGGCAGACCAGCCCCTAGCAACAGCCCCTAATACAGGCAGACCAGCCCCCTAGCAACAGCCCCTAATACAGGCAGACCAGCGCCCTAGCAACAGCCCCTAATACAGGCAGACCAGCGCCCTAGCAACAGCCCCTAATACAGGCAGACCAGCGCCCTAGCAACAGCCCCTGATACAGGCAGACCAGCCCCCCAACAACAGCCCCTGATACAGGCAGACCAGCGCCCTAACAACAACCCCTAATACAGGCAGACCAGCGCCCTAACAACACACACACGATTATCCCACAGTAACAACAAATAATAATCCCGGCATTTGATACGGCGCCTCGTCACGCCTTCGAGACGTCTCAAAGCGCTTCACAGGGTAAAGTGCAGTGACTGTGTGTTTTGCGGGCGAAATGGGGCAGACAATTACGTACAGCGACGCCCCCACAAACAGCCGAAGACCGAGTGACCACATTTGAAGGGATTATTATCCCAGAAAAGCGATCCGCCAATTGACCAACAGCCGCTAAGTAAACACAGGGCTGTTTGGAGTAAGGAAACTTGGCCAATGGTACCCCCTGACCCCACCTGGGAATCAAACCCGGGTCCTCTCGCTTGCGAGGCGACTGCTCTAACCACCGAGCGACAGGGCTCCGCATCTCGGCAGAGCTGCCCGACCAACCCACGAGCAACGACAACATCGCATTACATTTATACAGCGCCTCTCACGCGGGGAGGACGTTCCCAAGGAGCTGGACAGTCAGGGATTTAGACCCGAGTTGGGAGGGGGTTATTGGGAGTGACTACAGTTCACTCGCGCACTGAGCTCAACAACTCTGGTTGTTCGGAACAGAGAGATTACCGGGAGGTTCTGATAACTGAGAGGGGAACACACAGGCAATTGTGGAGTCCTGTAGTGCGGTGGTTGCAGGACTCGCCTCGCGAGCGAGAGGGCCTGGGTCCGACTCAATTCCCCGGCGGGTCAGGGCGAAACTTTACGCAAGTTTCCTGACTCCACACACACACACGCACACCTCTGCTTGTTTACCGAGCAGTAATAATGATAATAATAATAATAATAGTCCTCGCGTTTGATATAGCGCTTTTCACGTCGGGAGGACGTCCCAAAGCGCTTCACGGAACACACTGTAAAGTGAATTGACTGTATATTTGTGGGCGAACGCGGCGGCCAATGGCGCACAGCGATGTCCCACAAACAGTCGTAGATTGAAAATGACCAATTTATTATTGTTTTTGGTTTTGGAGGGATTATTATTAGGCTCTGTGTGGAGTAAGGAAACTTGCCCGAGGTTTGGCCCTCTGCCTGGAATTGAACTCAGGTCTCTCACTCGCAAATACCCCCCAACTTCCCCCCCTCCAGTTAGTAAAGCACAACACTTAAAATCAAATGAAAAAACAGCTGTTAACATTCTCTGGACCTGAGCGCCCCATTCTCCGCCAAATCACAGCGCACTCACTCAAGTACAACAACAAACTACAGTTGTACAGCGCCTTTCACGTCAGGAGGATGTCCCGTAGAAATCATAGAATTATCCACTTCCGCTCTTACCCCAACTCGTCCCACTCAAATGCAAGGATTATTATAGAAAGCTTTTCAACAAAAAGTCCCGAAGTGCTTTGCAAAACATTTTTCAGAAAGGAAAGGGAATGCTGTTCTGTTGGATAAGTGAGGGGGTCTGACCTGCATTTCTAACAGCCTCAAACCAATGAGTTCAGTAGTCAATTTGAATTTGAGGGTAATACAATAATCTTTTGATAAGCGCCTTATCAAATCGCTTCACAGGATATACTGTGAAGTATATTCTGCCCCCATCCCTCCGCCTCGCCCCCTCCCGCAGCTCTTTCAAGGCCCATCTTAAGACGTTCTTCTTTGACCGTACCTTCGGACATCTTTGCCCTCATCTCCCATCCCCAGCTCGTGTCCCCAGTCAGGAAAGTTAAGCGCCTTGGGACGTCCTCCCGACATGAAAGGTGCTGTGTAAATTTAATAATATTAATCCTTGTATTTGATACAGCACCTAATCTCAAAGCGCTTCACAGCATATAGTGTAAAGTGAATCGACTGTACATGTTGCGGGCGAAACGTGGCAGCCAATTGCACACAGCAGTGTCCCACAAACTGCTGAGTGACCAAATTATTATTTTAAAAAATTATTTATTGTTTTGAAAGGTTTATTACTCCCGGAAAAGCAATCCACTAATTAACTAAGCGGGTTCCTACTTACTGCTAGGTAAACAGGCATGTGTGTGTGTGTGTGTGTGTGTGTGTGTGTGTGGAGTAAGGAAACTTGCCTAAGGTTTCGTCCTGGATGGAGAGAGGCTGAGCTGCACAAACCGGGACATGTGCAATACTAGACCGAAACACACAGCAATGCAGACCCATCCCAGCCCGTGCCAAGCAGAGCAGAGCAGAGCAGCGAGTAATCAGAGAAGCGAGAGAGGGTTCACAATCATGAGGAGTTTTGATCGAGTAGACAGGGCGGAACTGTTTCCACTGGTGGGTGGGCCAGTAACCAGGGCACATAAGATAATTGGCAAAAGGAAAACCGGAGGGGAGACGAGGAGACATTTTTTTCTTTTTACCCAGAGAGTTGTTGCAGTCTGGATACGCCCTGCCTGAAAGGGTGGTGGATGCAGATTTGATAATAGCTTTCAAAAGGGAATTGGACAGGTGCTTGGACAGGAAAAAATTGCAGGAATATGGGGAAAGAGCGGAGGGAGTGGGACTAGTTGGGGTAAGAGAGGGAGGACTGGGGCTAGTTGGGGTAAGAGGGAGAAGTGGGACTAGTTGGGATAAGAGGGAGGAGTGGGACTAGTTGGGGTAAGAGAGGGAGGACTGGGACTAGTTGGGGTAAGAGAGGGAGGACTGGGACTAGTTGGGATAAGAGGGAGGACTGGGACTAGTTGGGGTAAGAGAGGGAGGACTGGGACTAGTTGGGGTAAGAGAGGGAGGACTGGGACTAGTTGGGATAAGAGGGAGGAGTGGGACAAGTTGGCAGCTCTTCCAAAGAGCCGGCACAGGCTCGAAGGGCCGAATGGCCTCCTTCTGTGCTGTAATATTCCTTGTTTCCACACACACACACACACACAGAGAGAGAGAGAGAG